TACATGCGAAGAAGCAAGAAGGCATACCTCGGACGGCGTGCTTTGTACTATAGTAACAGTACTGCTACGACTCAGCTATTACTGTTGAAGCTATCTGGAAACGTGGAGTCTAATCCCGGCCCTCAGGGGCCTCAAGGAAGTTTTAATAATTCTTCTAAAACACTTTGTAGTAATTGCGCTAAAACCATGAGAAGAAACCAAAATGGCGTCCGCTGCTCGTCTTGCCCGGCAGTATTCCACATCAAATGTACGAAAATGAGCAAGAACGAGCTGTCCTGCTATCGGAGAGAAGGGATCTGGTATTGCTTTTCTTGTACGATGCCTCAGTTTTCTGACAGCTTCTTTGATGATCTCTCACCTTCGGCGGTATGCGATTCAAGCTCCACTGGCGAGGTCTTTGAGATTGCGGAGGAACATTCAGGAGACTCTGTTGACTGGTTTTTTAGGAACGTCAATGGTTACTACAAATCCAATCTGAAAATAGGTCATTTGAACATCAACTCTTTACAAAATAAGCTTGACGAGGTCAAGAATATTCTTAACAAGTGCCTATTTGACATTTTCTTTATTTCGGAGACAAAACTCGATGGTACAACCTCAGATAGTTTTCTCCAACAACCGGGATATCGCACTATTCGACGTGATCGCAAGAAAGGAGCTGGTGGCTTGATAGCTTTTGTACGGGAAGATATTCCTGTCTGTCGACGACGTAATCTGGAGCCCGAATCAGTCGAATCATTATGTCTTGATGTCATGGATTCTAAAAAGACTCGCTTTATTGTGTGTGCGTGCTACAGATCACCTAAATTCTGTAAAATTACTGATTTCTTGTCGTCGCTTACATCAGCTATTGAACTTATGTATACAAGCCGTCAGGAAATATTATTGATTGGTGATTTTAATATCGACTTGCTTGTTGGGGAGCACGGTGTTGTTGCTGAGGATAACTCACTCATGGACCTTTGTGATAGGTTCTGTTTGCAAAACCAAATTAATGAACCGACAAGGGTGACTGAAAAAACAAAGTCTTTACTCGATGTCATTCTTGCTAGCCATCCGGAACGATATGCAACTTGTGGTAATTTGCATATGGGTCTCAGTGATCACGATCTTATCTATGCGGTGCGAAAGAATAAATTACCTAGGGCTAAGGCACGTGAAATTGAATACAGAAGTATGCGACAATTCGACTTAGAAAAATTTTTAAATGACCTAAAAACTATTCCCTGGAGTTCCGCTTACATTTATGACGACGTTGATGATCTATGGCACCATTGGGCTCAATTGTACACTGAAGTGTTGGACAAACACGCACCAATAAAGAAAAAACGGGTCAGAGGTGATCAGTTGCCATGGATAACTCCATTAATTCAACGCGAAATCTCGCGTCGTAATCGACTGTTTAAGAAACATGCAAAGAGCCCAACAACAACCTCTTGGGAGGAATTCAAGAAACAGAGAAACAAGGTCACATCCCTGAAACGAAAAGGGTTGAAGGCGTTCTGCATGGAGGCATCGTCAAACACTAAACATCATGGTGAGTTTTGGAATAAGTTAAGACCTTTGTTGCCAAGCAAAGAAAAGAAGCAATCAAAGATAATTCTGATTGAGAATGAGCGTGTAATTACCGATTCATTAATGGTGGCTGAAATGTTTAACAACTACTTTTGCGAGGTGTCTAGGAGTGATGGTGACAGTAAGGAAATGGTTGAGTTTGTTGATCATCCTAGCGTTAATGTCATTGCTGAGAAAACTTGTGATGATGTTTTTGACCTCGTCCCAGTTGATGTTGGCTACATAAGGAAAATTTTGGATTCTCTTGACCCTCGCAAGGCTGCTGGGTGCGATAAGATATTTCAGAGGCTACTTCGTTTATCCTCACCTGTTATGGCCGAGCCGGTTACCCGATTAATCAATTATTTTATCACCAACCGTCAATGGCCAATAGTTTGGAAAAGCAGCGACGTTGTTCCTGTTTTCAAGAAGGAAAGTATGACAGATAAGACCTGCTATCGTCCAGTCTCTGTTCTGACTTCCTTATCGAAATTATATGAGAAGATATTGTTCGATCAAATCTATGAAGCCTTTCATTGGCGACTCTCACCGAACCTGTCTGGCTTTCTCAAGGGTCACTCGTGTTGCACGGCCTTATTGAAATTGACTGAAGATTGGAGAGCCTGTCTTGACAGAAGAGAAGCTGTTGCAGCGGTGGCTATCGACCTAAGTAAAGCTTTTGACTCTGTTTGTCACCCGCTTCTCCTAGCTAAATTAAAGGCATATGGTTTTACGCATGATGCGCTGGAAACTATGACCGCTTACCTTACTGGACGAAGACAGAGAGTCAAACTTGACGGTGTATATTCTTCATGGAGAACCGTTAAAACTGGTGTACCACAGGGGTCCCTGTTGGGTCCTCTCCTATTTAATTTGTATGTTAATGATCTTAATTATTTTATTACTAGTACGTCCTTGAGGCTATATGCTGACGACACTACTCATTACGCCTCTGATGTCTCACCAACAGTATTGCAGTATATAATTAACTCTGATCTGAGCGTTCTATCGAGATGGTTCTCAATGAATTTTTTACAGATTAATGCCGCCAAAACGCAAGCTATCGCTATTGGCCCGTCTTCATACCAATATGATTTCCATCTTAATGATGCTAATGTCCATACAAAGGACACACTCAAAATCTTGGGGTGGTCCTAGATAGCAAATTAACATTTAAAGCGCACATAAAGCAACAGCTGAATAAGGGATGCGCAAAGGCTTCGGCTTTGCGGAGAATACGTAAGTTTATTTCAAAGGACGTGTTAGTTCGTTTATATAAGGCCTATGTCCTCCCTCATCTTGAGTACTGCAGTCCCCTTTTACTGGGAATAGGTAACGCGGAGACTACAAAAATAGAGACAACTAATTACTTTATATTAAGAACTATATTAGGCTTCTCGAAGTCTGTGTCATACGACTTCCTCCTCAAGTTGGCCGACATTAAGTCTTTGGAGAATCGTAGGCAATTCCAATCGTTGGTTATGTTATATAAGTGCTTGTATGATAAGGGGGCTCCTTATATAAGTGATTTTTTTCATTTTAGAAATGTACCGTATAGTTTACGCGGGCTCAGTACAAGGCTAGATTTACCTCCTTTTAATCTTGAGTTTTTACATCGGTCTTTTTCATTTTTAGCTAGTAAACTTTGGAATGCGCTACCCCCTAGACTCAGAGAATCTCAAGATATTGCTTCATTTAAGCGTTCTCTTAAAGCCCACATGGCTTAATGGTAGTAATTGTAAATATCGTTATTGTTGTTAATATTGTTAATATTGTAACTTCTAATTGATAGCTCTTGTCCATGATTCTCGATCCTGTTTTTAGCTTTTTAATAGATTTACTTACTATTTGTATTCTTACAGAAATTATGCTTTATTTCTAATTGTACATACACGTACACGTTTTAACGAGAACTTCTGTACTCCTAGGTGTCACGTGTTTAAATAAAGGATTGATTGGATTGATATACATTGATTAACAAAACGATTCTATACTCTAGCATTGTTTATGATTAAATAATGATTAACCGATCTTTGATGTTTTAGCTTTCACATGATATATTTTTGGCACTGATAGACCACCTCCGTGATGAAGAAAATAAACCCTATATCATAAGCGATCATACATACAAATATTTCAAGTTTTTAGATCATTTAAATTGTCAGATATCGAAGTTACCATCTCAAGTCCCATAAAGTTACAGAAAATATGTTTTCTACAAGGAAGAGGAAGAGTAAATATTGATGGTTTTGATTTGCCGAGTTTTTTGCGCGCAGTTGTCGGAGGCTATTGCGGCAGGTTGGGCAACGGAGCACGACTTCTAAACAATTCTTCCACGAGCGCGCTTTGGATATGAAATGATTGATAGCCAACGAGTCCCGTAGGGCCGAGATGGTCATAATCCAGCCCATATCCAACAAGGTAATTTAGTATTATCAACCGAGTTGATAACGTAAATTGGCCACCATACAGAGTTTAAAAGCTGACGTTTCAAGCGTTAGCCCTTCATTCTCGCTCTGACGAAGGGCTAACGCTCGAAACGTCAGCTTTCAAACTCTTTACGGTGGCCAATTTACGTTATCAACTCAGCTGGTAGTACTAAATTACCCTCTTATACTCTCCCACCGACGCAGCACCACAGATTCTTTAGAAACTTGCCCCCTTTATTCATATCCAAAAAGCGCGGGTGGAATAATTGTTTCATTAAAAACACCCCAAAATATAGATAAATTGTATCCTCGAAAATGTTTTGGCTCCGCTTTAATTTTGAGTTAACGCTTAGAGAATGGTATAGTTGCTCCCAACCTATGATGGGTAAGCCAAAGAAAATTCTTGAATTGCATCATCCAGTGGTCCAGTTTTTTAATAAAAACCAACATTAAATGAATCATAAGCGCATGTACCATCACTCACCGTAGCTGCTACAGGTTCCTTCAACAAGCAATACCTAGGACGGGGAGTGCACCTGCTTCCAGGCCGTCATTGTGTAAGCCTGAAGCGAAGAAGTTATGCAAGCGAAAGAAAAGAAAGAGGTAGGGAACCAACAGAAAATAACTGGTTGGGATTAAGGAAAGTAAAGAGAAGGAAAAAATGCTTTACTGCGACCTTAATTAATTCTTAATTTCTCTCTTAGGTTTTCAAACGCGTGTGAACAATAAATGATAATCAGGCCATCAGTATTACCTGAAAAAATTTCCGATCTAAAATCATAGCAAGCCGCTTTTTATCGAAAAGCTATATGAATGATATATCTTGTTGCCGCTCTAGAACTCTCTAAAGCTGGATGTGGGACCAAGTTTAACGACCATCTCGCACGCGCAGTTGACATGCGGCCTACGTCATACAGAATTATTGTAACGTCAATCTTTACTTCACTTCGTTTTCGCGGCAAGAGCAAGGTTGCGCTTTTCGTGAGAGAGAAAAAAAAGTTTGGAGACAAATCAGAGATGAAGTGGGTGACTGCGATAATAGCGCTTTCACTCTTATCGTTGTTTTCTAACGCTACAAACAGTGCTAATCTGGACGGTAAGGTTTTTTTCTCCCTTTGACAAACATTTTTCTCTTTCTTACAGCCTTGAAGGTTATGACTTTGGACTTAGTAATAGGAACAACGGCTTAACTTGCTGCTCAACCGGTTTACAATGTTTCGAAGGGATTCGCTTAGTTTTCGTTGCTGTCGGGTAAAGAGGTTGGAAATTTTTGCAAAACACATTCTTATGAAAAATACTTCAAATCAACTTCCGCAGATCAAATGTTTCTAGGTCCTATGGTTACTGCGCGCGTGGTTTTAAGTTCATTTCTAAGTTTTGCGCGCTTTACAAAAGGTTTTAAACTGAAAAGTTGCGATAATTCCTTTTAAGTTTCTTTCAAAATAAACGCACCTTCATCATTTTAAAGAATCGACAAGTACACGAGAATGAAAGAAATTCAACATGATTTAACAATGCATGGAAATTTATAAAACATATTTATTTTTGGCAGAGATCTATTCATTTTTTTTTTTTTCAATCTGCTTTTTTTTCAATGTTACCGTACAAGTCATTACATGGACATACGCTACGTCACTTTACGCTACACTGCTACAATTCACTATTGTACCAAATTACTTATTTTTTTCATGCGTAGGAACGTTTACTCGAGTCAGTGAGAGGCAAGAGCCGAATGATTTCAACAAACACAAGATGATGATGATGACTGGAAAATGGGACAACAAGGTTTGCCGAAATTTAGATTTTTAAGGCATACTTATTGTTGGCTTCTCAGAAATGCAGTTCCAAAAAATATCCCATTTGTAATTTGAAACCTTGTCTCGCGGAAAAGACGCACAACTCTTGCAGCGTCTTTCACCAACCAGGAAGTATAAATAGGTACCAGCGATTCATGCGTCGTTAGTGAAACCTGGAAAATCCAGCTGCGTGGACCAATATATTAGTCCTTGCAGCATTATAATAAAATTTTAAAAAAATCTTCAGAGTTAAACATTTTCAGCCATTTCGATATGAAGGTTTTTTTGTCTTGAACAACAGATTGCGGTTAAGATACAAATTCCCTCCATGGATGTTGAACTGAAGTTGATTTACGAAAAGAATTCCATTGAAGTTAACAGCAAAGCGTATGGCTACACCAGACCTAAACATTCAAAGGTATTAGATTTGATGGTTCGTTTTATCTTCCGTTTACCGTTCATGCTTTTATGTTTTAAAGTACTAAGCTAACCGGACTACTTTCCCGTATTTCACATGGCCAATAACTTCTCTAAATCATCATTGTCAGATCTTCAAGTGCAAGGAAATCCCTGAGTATCTCAGAAACACCACGTGCTCTGACTATGATGTTTTCGAGATTACAAATCCTGGATTGATATCTCGGATGTGGAACTTTACAGTGTCGGCAATGACCCAGGTGCATGACGGTACGTTGGAAATGACCTCAGGGATTTGGAAGAAATGCATTATGGTCTCAAGGGTAGTGATTGGAAAAGTATGGTATGGACTTCAGTACACCTGGATTGGAACGGTTAATTGGACTCGGGAGAAATTTGAATGGTTCTCAGACTTGACGTGGAATGGAGCAAAGCGCTGGGTTGGAAAATTGTTATGGAACTGTACGGAATGGTTGGCTTGGGTTTTATGGAATGGACTTGGAGGGTTGGCTGAGAAGATTTGGAATGGACTTCAGTGCTTAGCGGATTTTACAATGACTGCGACATATTTATTTGCCGAGATGGTCCAAAATAAGTCAGCTGAGCTGATCCAGATGGTGATTTACGGAGTGACGTGGATTGTTGAACCATTTGTGCCTGTCTTCTGTTATATCGCTGATGTTGCGGTTGATTTATACTTTGATTTCCTACACGGTAAGTTAACTCTGCTCAGAATCGAATTTTCACTTCACAAGTTGGCCTGGCAGCAGAGAGAGAGAGAGAGAGATCATTTCACTTCTCACTTTCGGCTGAGCTGGATTTATCATTATTATCTATAATCAGCTATTTCCTTTTACACGGGCCATACGATACAATTTATAAAGGATGACTCAATTTCTTTTTATTTCTGCAGCTGCACAATTTCATACCACAATTATTACATTCGATTTAAAGAAAAAGAGCGGTTACTAGTTTCTGGACACTTTTTTTTGTTCACTATCCATGACATTAGTTTTTTTTTTCCAACAGATCATGTGAAACAAATTCAAACTCGGTTTGATTTCGTTTACTGGCAAGATGGCGTCTACGCTTTCTCCGCTGGTTTAGTCGTCAATGTTTCTCTTTTGGCTGCTGCTTTTCTCGTTTACCGGTTATGTGTGCGAACTGTGAAATTCATCGGACGGAAATGGTAAGTTATATCCTGCGAAATAACTGTTTTTAAAAAATTAATAACTCTTTAACCCCTGAGAGTGGCTGGCGTCTAATTTCTCCTCACAATATCAGCCTTAAATCAAACAGAAAGGTTATGAGAATAAAGGAAATGATCACTCATTTCAGAAACCCCTTGTTGTCAATCAAAAATACTCCTTGTCAGTACCATAGCAAATTTAAAGAGAACCGTGCGGAAATATGAATACTAATGTTATGGTGTAAAGGGTTAAGATTATTTTGTTTGAAATCAGTAGCCAAACGAGCGAGGTCTCTCTAATAGATAATAAGTTCCCATGAGTCAGCTGCCATCCCGTGATATTTGGAGTAAATTTTCTGGCGCGAAAATTGCCTTCAATCTAATGCCGTCTGCAAGAGAGTAGAAAGCACAAAAAATGATACAAAAAGTACTGGAATGTATAAGATAAAAACGAATTGAAAATTACGACTTAGAAATATAGCGGAAGATTTTTTAAGATGTGTATTACACTGAGTAGCTCCTACAACTGTGTCAAATATCATGATTTGCAAGGGATTCGACCCCAATTAAATGTAGCTCAAATTTGTTAGCAATGAGTAGAAATTCTGCTGTTATCGCGAAGCTACACAGAGGTAAAAACAGAGCCTTTGAATTGTTGTCACCTGTTCCCTTTTGGATCAAAAGTCCATCCATTGCGCGCATGCGTCAGATTTACGGTTGATAGACACTGGTTCAATATTGAACTGAATTAATGAGGAAATCTGACTTCAATAAGCATTCCTTATTCTATGCTTGTCATTTCTTGCAGGAAAGAGTACAAAGACAGAAAGGCTGCTGCTAATATGCCACCCAAACCACAGAAACCAATTTGGCAGCCGAAACGAAAGCACAAGAAAAAGAAGAGAATTGACGACTGGTAGTCGCCAATTATGTTTACTTTGTTTTGTTGCCTCAAAAAGGAAAAAAAAATCCTGGATTTTGTGTTATTCTGTTAAATGCAGTTTTGAGATATTGAAAATGTAATTTAAGTGCTGGCTTTTGAGTTTTCTCTCATTAAAAATTGTTCGATGCGGTTTATCTTACTAGTCTGGTTGTGTTGAAAGCGACGGCTGCGTTCTTATGGTCAATAAATCAGAGTAATCTCTATTCCTGCCATTAACGTGAAATTACGCCCTTTCCAGGAGAAGTTGAAGCTAAAAGATTGTAGAGCTAACCGTTTATTCATCACTTCACGGGTTTATTTGGAACCAACATCATGACCAGCTCCCAGTTGGCTTGTTAGCTCAGTTGGTAGAGCGCTGCACCGGTATCGCAGAGGTCATGGGTTCAAATCCCGTACAGGCATGAGTTTTTTCAGGCCTTGTTTTCACCACTGCCCAAGTAGTGCACATTACTGCGAGGATCACTTTCATTCAAATAACAACAAAGCTACATGAAATAGAAACGAATTTATTGCCAGAGTGATTGACGAAGGGCTAACGTGGCCTTTTAACTCTTTACGGTGACCAATTTACGTTTTCAACTCAGTTGTCAACACTAAATTACCTGCAATACTCTCCCACCGACGTAGGACTACAGTTTCTTTAGAAACTTACCCCTTTATTCATTTCTCTTAATAAGTCAAAGACTGAGTTCATGTTAACAGTTTCAAGACAAAAGTTGGATACTTTTAATGGACCCCTGTGTCTTACTATGGACCGTAACTCTATAAAGCAAGTTTCATTTAGAAGATTTCTTGGTGTATATACAGATAAAAATTTACCTTGGAATATACTGATATCGAAATATCTAAAAAGAAGTTGCCGCTGGCATTCGGGCATCTCCAGGCGAGGTAGGTCCTTTGTCCCATTTGAAACGCTCCTATGCATCTATCATGCTTTAGTTCAACCTCATTCAAGTTCTTATGGAGGAATTGCAATAATTCTCTCGCAACTAAATTACAAAAACTACAGAATCGCACTACGCGTATTTTGACCTCTTCTTCCTACGATGCCAACGTTGATGATCTTTTTGTAAGACTTGAGAGTGGGAAAAACTTGATCTTTGACGAAAACTCTGAAAAAAAACAACGGACCATAAATTACTTAATGGTATTGCCCTTGATTATCTGAAATGAATGTTTATTCATCGGAATGAAATATCTAACTATTTTTTAAGGGATTCTTAGGGCAAGTTAGCTGTTCCACTACCCTGCACTAGCTCTCAAAAACAAACTTCAGCTGTAATGAAGCGGTGCTTTGGAACATTTTACCAGCCAATTTAGGGCAAACACACACTTACCCTTTTCCGAGAAAAGATGAAAGTTCACGACCCCTATTCAAGTAATGTAAGAAACAGATAGAAACAGATATTTTATTCAGAGGGCGGTTGAGTAAATTACTTATTGATAGGAGTGCGTTTTCTTATGTTCAGTTTCAAAATTGCTTTGGTGTTCCTCGCATTTCGAGCCGAGAAAGAAAGAGGAAATAGAGATCATCCCTGTAAAAACGACAGCAGTAGAACAACTAACAAGACATGAAGATACATTTCTGATTACTTTTGCGGCAAGCTTTCTCATGCATAGGAAACTAAATGCGCAATTTATCACTCGTCATTTATCTGGCTGATATTGTATTGATATTGTAAGGAGAAATTCTGTCTTGTTCACTCATGAGAGTTAATGGGTTAAAGGGGGGAGTAGAGAAAATTAACTGCCAATGAGGGAGGATCATTTGCATACTGCAGAGCCCTGAGGGGGGATCGGGTAAATTTTTTATAACACAACCAACATCCCCTGACTATAGAGGACTTTTGCATCTACATGGTACAGCTGAGGCATAACCGCATGCAAATTCCCTGGAGATCTCCTCAACTAACGTGGGAGACATTAAATCTCATTTGTCCTGAAAATTAACAGTGTTTCTCTTTTCCTTGAGGAAATCCTTACATAATGCTCAATCTATACTTAGTGCTGTAGGACAGTTTCATGCAATCTCTTTGCGTTTATTCCACACTGCTTTTATTTCGCTTTGCGTTAATCACTTTGACTTAATAATTTATTCAAAACTTTAGGAATTGAATGAATCTGTAGGTAGTCCATGCGTTGAAGGAGTGAAGTTAAAATCGCTCTTTTTTAACGCCTAGTTTTTCATGCAAAAGAAACTTGGTTTTCCAAGTTTTTCGAAATGAAAAGGTGCATGAAATTATATCATGGCCGTCAGTGTGTCGTTTGAAAGTTGACAATAGCTATACATTGATTGACAAAACGATTCAATACTCTAGCTTTGTTTATGATTAAATAATGATTAACTGATCTTTGATGTTTTAGCTTTCACATGATATATTTTGGCACTGATAGACCACCTCCGTGATGAAGAAAATAAACCCTACATCATAAGCGATCATACATACAAATATTTCAAGTTTTTAGATCGTTTAAATTGTCAGAAATCGAAGTTACCATCTCAAGTCCCATGAAGTTACAGAAAATATGTTTTCTACAGGGAAGAGGAAGAATAAATATTGATGGTTTTGATTTGCCGAATTTTTTGCGCGCAGTTGTTGGAGGCTATGGTGGCGGGTTGGGCAACGGAGCACGACTTCTAAACAATTATTCCACGAGCGTGCTTTGGATATGAAATGATTGATAGCCAACGAGTCTCGTAGGGCCGAGTTGGTCATAATCCAGCCCATATCCAACAAGGTAATTTAGTATTATCAACCGAGTTGATAACGTAAATTGGCCACCGTACAGAGTTTAAAAGCTGACTTTTCGAGCGTTAGCCCTTCATTCTCGCTCTGACGAAGGGCTAACGCTCGAAACGTCAGCTTTCAAACTCTTTACGGTGGCCAATTTACGTTATCAACTCAGTTGATAACACTAAACTACCCTGTTATACTCTCCCACCGACGCGCCACAGTTTCTTTAGAAACTTGCCCCATTTATTCATATCCAGAAGGCGCGGGTGGAATAATTGTTTCATTAAAAACACCCGAAAACATAGATAAATTGTATCCTCGGCGAAAATGCTTTAGCTCCGCTTTAATTCTGAGTTAACGCTTAGAGCATGGTATAATGGCTCACAACCCATGATGGGTAAGCCAAAGAAAATTCTTGAATTGCATCATCCAGTGGTCCAGTTTTTTAATAAAAACCAACATTAAATGAATCATAAGCGCATGTACCATCACTCACCATAGCTGCTACAGGTTCCTTCAACAAGCAATACCTAGGACGGGGAGTGCACCTGCTTCCAGGCCGTCATTGTGTAAGCCTGAAGCGAAGACGTTATGCGAGCGAAAGAAAAGAAAGAGGTAGGGAACCAACAGAAAATAACTGGTTGGGATTAAGGAAAGTAAAGAGAAGGAAAAAATGCTTTGCTGCGACCTTAATTAATTCTTAATTTCTCTCTTAGGTTTTCGTACGCGTGTGAACAATAAATGATAATCAGGCCATTAGTATTACCCGAAAAAATTTCCGATCTAAAATCATAGCAAGCCGCTTTTTATCGAAAAGCTATATGAATGTTATATCTTGTTGCCGCTCTAGAACTCTCTAAAGACGGGCGTGGGACCAAGTTTAACGACCATCTCGCGCGCGCAGTTGACATGCGGTCTACGTCATACAGAATTATTGTAACATCAATCTTTACTCCACTTCGTTTTCGCGGCAAGAGCAAGGTTGCACTTTTCGTGAGAGAGCAAAAAAAGTTTGGAGACAGATCAGAGATGAAGTGGGTGACTGCGATAACAGCGCTTTCACTCTTATCGTTGTTTTCTAACGCTACAAACAGTGCTAATCTGGACGGTAAGGTTTTTTCTCCCTTTGACAAACATTTTTCTCTTTCTTACAGCCTTGAAGGTTATGACTTTGGACTTAGTAATATGAACAACGGCTTAAATTGCTGCTCTTCATGTCAACCGGTTCACAATGTTTCGAAGGGATTCACTTAGTTTTGGTTGCTGTCGAGTAAAGAGGTTGGAAATTTTTGTAAAGCACATTTTTATGAAAAATACTTCAAATCACTTCCCGCAAATCCAATGTTTCTAGTTCCTATGGTTACTACGCGCGTGGTTTTAAGTTCATTTCTTAGTTTTGGGCGCCTTACAAAAGATTAAGTTGCGCTGAATCCTTTTAAGTTTCTTTCAAAATGAACGCGCCTTGATCAATTTAAAGAATCGGCAAGTGCACGACAATGAAAAAAATTCAACATGCTTTAACAGTGCATGGAAAATTTATAAAACATTTATTTTCGGCAGAGATTTATTTGTTTTTTTTTAATTTGCTTTTTTTTAATGTCACCGTACAAGTCATTACATGGACATACGCTATGTCACTTTACGCTTCATTAATACAATTCACTATTGTACCAAATTACTTATTTTTTTCTGCGTAGAAATGTTTACTCGAGTCAGTGAGAGACAAGAGCCGAATGATTTCAACGAACACAAGATGATGATGATGACTGGAAAGTGGGACAACAAGGTTTGCCGAAATTTAGATTTCTAAGGCATACTTATTGTTGGCTGCACAGAAATGCGGTTCCAAAAAATATCCTATTTGCAATTTGAAACCTTGTCTCGCGGAAAAGACGCACAACTCTTGCAGCGTCTTTCACAAACCAGGAAGTATAAATAGGTACCAGTGATTTGCGTGTCGTTATTGAAACCAGGAAAATCCAGCTGCATGGACCAATGTTTTAATGCTTGCAGCATTTAGAATACATTTTAAAAAATTTTTACAGTTAAAACATTATCAGCCATTTCAATGAGAAGGTTTTTTTGTTTTGAACAACAGATTGCGGTCAAGATACAAATTCCCTCCATGGATGTTGAACTGAAGTTGATTTATGAAAAGGATTCCATTGAAGTTAACAGCAAAGCGTATGGCTACATCAGACCTAAACATTCAAAGGTATTAGATTTGATGGTTCGTTTCATC